GAAGAAGAAGAAGAAGAAGAAGAAGAAGAAGAAGAAGAAGAAGAAGAAGAGCCTCAAATAAGTGAATTTTGAAATAAAAAAGATTTTCAACTGATAAGAGAAACACAAAAGATCATGATGGATGACTATGAAAAAGAAATATGGCAAGTAGCCAAAAATTTGAAACGGTCGAAATGGGAACCTGCCTGTATAAACCACGTGACCCATGATGAGCAAACAGAAACATAGAACGGACAAATACTGATGAAAGAGACGCCAGTCACAGTCCAAAATCTCCCAGGATGGGAGATGCTTTGCTGGAAAATTCCATGGATGGTCAACTCAGCAGTTCTTCCAGCCTTTCCAGACCCTGAAGAGGATGGAACACTCTCAATGTATTTCACGAGGCAAAAGCCACTACCCTGGTTTGCTTCTCCATTGTTATGGTAAACACCAAAACTAAAATCAACTTTGGGGAAGGAAAGAATTTATTCGGTTTATGGTTTGTAATTCATTAAAGAGGGAAGCCGGGGCGGGAACTCAAGGTGAGAGCTGGTAGGCAGGCACCGGAGCCGAGACCATTGAGGAAGCAATGTTCACCGGTGCAGAGCTAGCTTTTCTTATACAGCACCGGCCCACCTCTTTATAAGACCGCTCATAGTGGGCGGGGCCCTCCTATGTCAATCAGCAATTAAGAAAATGGCCCTACAGACATGGTCCCAGGTCAATGAGATGGAGGCAATTCCTCAACGGAGGTTCTCTCTTCCTAGGATTGTGTCAAGCTGATAGCTGAGACTAACTATGACGTACAAGAATATGATAAAAATGGAAAATCAGTGACTAACATACTTGATGAACAAAAATGCTTCAATACCAGCAAACCGAATTCAGCAGCATAGCAAAGCAAAAGGACGGTGAACCTCAATGAAATGCAGTTCTATAATGTGAAAATAAGGTGTCTACCATAGCTTTTCTGCTTTGTTCTTGAGAGTCTCTAGGCTTGTTGCATATGTGGTTTGATGTCTGACATTAAATTGAGATTATGTCAGCATTATTCTCTTTTTTTTTTATGTCCCTTTCTTTGATATTCCCATTATTATGTCATACCTTTCTCAATGTTCGTAAATCCTTGGCTATTCTGATCTGCTTCTTCCTAACTTGTTTTGTTTTCTTTGTTCTTTGGCACCACAGTTCTGTTGGTACATATGTCTTTCCCATTGAGAGATTCTTCAGCTTTCTCTATTCTAACAGGCCCATGGAAGGCATTCTTCATTCCCAGAACAGTGCTTTTATTTTGATAATTTTGCTTGGTGTTTTTTTTTTTAACTTCCCTTTTTGGGTTCCCATTAGACTTGTTCTTGAACACTATTTTATCTATAGGTGATGAACCTTTGCTGTTTAAATTTCTAATCTGGTGTTTTCAACACCACAGATATACCTGTTTCTTTCTCTGTCTCATCAAATTCTTGGTTTTCTCTCTCTCTCTCTCTCTCTCCCTCTCTCTCTCTCTCTTTGGTTTTGCTTTCTAGTATGTCTTGTTGTACCTAGAACTTGAAAAATTAAAAAAAAAAGTGTTGGTAAGTTGGGTAGGAGTTTTATACTTTTTTTTTTTTTTAGTTTTTTCACTCTTTTCATGAATGTTGTTTATGAGTGTGCCATTTGGCAAAGTGTTCCTGATTTGGTTAAACAATAATAATTCCTGAAACTAAAATAACTTATTTTGCCAGACTCTTGCCCTCCTGGCCCTATTACCATTCAGTAGCAGTTGGCTATGAGAGGAGCTTGTCAATCACGTGACTTTTTTTTTTTTTTTTTAAATGGGCCAGTCCCCTTATTTCCCTGGCTATTCCAAGCAAGAGCTAACCACAGGCCAAAAGAGAAAGTTTCATTCTTCTCTCGTCTTGCTCTCTTATAGCCTTATAACTACTCAGCCTGTAAGGGCACTGCAGGATTTCTGGCTTCTTGGAGGAGAGACCTCCATTCTGTAGACCTCTTCCTGAACAAATGCTGTCACGGAATCATTGGTTCCCTTCCTGTCTTCTCACTAACTTTACGAGGAGGCTGTGCTGCAAGACTGAGCTTTTAGGAACTGTTCCACTCTCACCCCATTCGATGGACTGTGTTGGTCAGAGTTCAGTGGGGGAAGGTAGAGTCCACGGGGGTATGTGGTCATAGTCCATTAGAGGTAAATGGTGAGTTGACTGTGGGTGGGCATTCTCTTTTTCCCATGTGGAAAGTGAGGACAAGCTGGCGCTGAGACTTTCCCTTGCCGTATGGAAGGTCAGAACTGGCATGTTCCCCACACCCAGTCGTTCAGGGCTCTATTGAAGCTCCGCCACTTCAGTCTCTGGGCAACTCTAGTTTCTCCTGAGGGCAGGTCTTAAGAAGAAAAATGGAGTCCTGCAGGATGGGTTCTTTTCTCCTCCCCAAGCCAGAAGCTGGTGTTTACAGTAAGAATCAAGTAACATTTGAAAAGTGTGAGCCAGCCTGAGACTGGGTATCCTGACATTTTAATTCTTCGTCATCTCTGTGTCAATCATTTATCAGCTATTGTCTCACCTGCCTACCTCAGTGCTGATCTGCAGAGCCCAGTGCACACTAGAGCCCAGCACATTCTCACTCCCTGCCTCCTCCTGTCAGTCTTTCCATTGGGCAGCAGTTTAACCTGTACTTGCAGTTCTTAGCACCTGAAAAGGGTAGTGTTTTGCATCTATTCAGTATTTACTTTTCAAGCTTTGTGTATGCAGGGCTGGCTTCAGAAGTTCCCTGCCCAGAACCTGGCTCTTCCATTGCAGTTCCTCTCTGGGGAGAGAAAATTTTTCTAGAGGAAGTAGAGCTTTAAAACCAGCACTGTTAGTATGGAGGACATTGATTTATTTAAAAGTTAGGTGACCAGAAACCATGAAAGCCGCTATGTTGTGCTTTAAGTTGGTACAGATTTTTTTTTCCTCTGTCTTGATCACCAATGAGGATTAAGCAACTAATTTATTCTTTGAGAATTTCACTACATCCCCATTCTCCTTCTGCAAGTTCCTCAGGAAACCTTCATCAAACTTTGTAACCTTGTGTGTGTGTGTCCGTCCCAGTAAGTCCAATAAGTACTTCCTGGATGTGCATGAATATGGGTGGTTCACTGGCACACGAGCAGACCACTGTTATATTTTAAAGGGTGTGAGGGACATTTAAGGGTATGGTGAGAAAAGAACATCACTGAGAAAAACCAGACACTGATAGGGGTGGCTGGAAGGCCAAGGCAAAGCAGCTTTCTCTTTACCTGAAAAATGCGCATTGATTTCTCGAAGAAGCACTTACTACCTACTAACTTGCCAATCAATATCGATGGAGAACTCCATAAAGAAAATGCCTATCTTATTAGTGGAGTATTTAATAGCTTAGATTAAGTGTAAAGATTAATCTCACCACTTTACTGTGGGCTTTATCTGAAAATAACTTCTAATAATAATGTTTTGCTGTTGGCTTGATTGTCATGGATTTGTGCCACCTCCCTGGGTTTTTTTTTTTTCAACATATTTTATGCTTCAGTATTGTACATATGAGCAAAGTCATGTTTTCAATACTCTAATTTTGAATGAGAATAATTTTTATTTCATCTATCTAGGTTTTACTTTAAATGAATATTTAAAACATTTCAATTTGTAATGTGGAAAATTTACGCATGTAGAAATACAGAGGAATAATCTTTTTAGGTTTCCCAGATAATTGGGACATCACCGTTTAGTACCATCAGAACAGTGGCTGCTAGGTGCTCTAGCCTGGCCTTTGCAGACACACGTTTTCAGATGCCCTGAGACTGTATTTGTTTTGCTTTTGTGTGCAAGTATCTGTGCTCATAGTAAATCAGACACGAGTATTGTGGACATATAATATTAATCTTTTATTTTTCTTTAGCGACTGCCTTTTCGAAGCACAGAGAAACAAATGTGTTTTGTTTCTGTTTTTGTTTTAAATAGTAGCCATCATGGGGCATCTCCAGACTGCACTTGAAGAAAAACAGTTGGGGGGATGGGAGACAAGAAGGACAGAATAGTAGGAAGAGCATGGCTGAATATCAGTGAATCAGTGTCCTCCTGGCTAACAGTGATAGCTTCACCCAAAACCCCGCTCATACTAGAAAGCTTTGCTCAGAAACCCAGTGAGCCGGTGAAACCTGGGAACCACGTCATAAGTCTCTCCTCTTTTCCCTGCTCCCTCAGGGTGGAGGCTGCGGGATCCCTGAAAGTGCTCCTGGCCAGGCTTGAGGTTTTCTTTCTTGTTTTTGTTTTCTTTTTCAGACACAAGTAGTAGCTGGTAAACACGGCTTTCCACCTGGCATCGGATGCAGCCACGGACCACATGTTGATGGCTTCAGAGACTTTCTGTTCTTTTTTGTGTTTTTTTTTTTCTTCCCACAGCAGGGATGTCTTGTCATAAGACTATCACCAAGACTCATACTTTGGTTTCCCTCCTAGTCACCTCCAGATCCAGCTGTTCACAGACCACTTGGCTGTGGGTTACGTCCAACTCATCTGTTGTGGTTCAAGTTGTGCTATCCCCAAACAATCACAACTCAGAAAACCACAGAGGAATGCTCATGTGATGCTCATGTGATCCAGCCATGAAGGAAAGGAATACAAACCTGAAGACCCCAAGAAGAATCTCAACAATGTGTGTTGCTGAGCCCTCTTCTCTATTTGTTTCTTATTACTAGGCCACCTTCCACTTGCCAAATCATACTGTCACATAAAACATCAAAACGGTTTCCTTGAGTCTTCTTTTTTGTTTGTTTTGTCACGGCTGGCTTTTTTGTGTGTAGCCCTGGCTACGCTGCAACTAGCTCTGCTAACCAAGCTGGCCTCAAACTCAGAGATCTGCCTGCCTCTACCTCCAAAGGGCTAAGATTAAAGGTGTGCCATCGTGCCCAGCTTGAACATTTATTTTTAAAGGTTCTGTCATAATAATGATTAATAATCTGCCCAAACATATTTGGTATTAGGAAGGGAGTTTATTGTGGAAAAAGAGGGAGGGAAGAGAGAGAAGACTGGGTACTCCAGAAAGAGACAGACAGAACAAGACAGAGAGTAAGAGAGAGAGAGCAGTAAAAAAGAGCTTGGGACTGTGGGCAGGCCCTTTATAATTTGGCATTCACCTGCATGTACCTTTTGTAGCAGGTGATGACATCATAGGTTGCTAGGCAACCTAGAAGCAGGCTATCAGAATAACATTCCTCCCTTTTCATTTAATTTTTAAAAATGTGGAGTTAGGAAGGGGTGGCCAGGAGGGAATGAGGACAATGGGCTGCTTCTCATGCAAGACAAGTTAAAGTCTATAAACTTTAACTTGCAGGTTCATTGGAAGCAGCTTTTGGCTGCCATACAAAGAGAGGAGGGAGGGAGGGAGGGAGGGAAAAGAGAGAAAGGGAGGGTCAGAGAAAGAAAGAGAGAGAGAACCAAAACATTTGGATTATATAGTGAATGGGGAGGGGAAGCCCCTACCCTGGAAAGTTCAGGGTAGAGGGTGGATTTGCCAGCCATGCTCTGCAGCAGGTAGGGACTGAGGACTGCTGGGATAACCTGGAGCTGCTTGTCCTGGGTCTGAAGCACACCATTCCAGTCTTCTGTTGATAACAGATGAATTGAGATAGTATATTCGTCTATAACTGCTTCCTGCTGACACTGGAGCGCTGATATTGTGGAGCAGTGCGGGCAAAGAGCTGGAATGTTCGTCATGTCTTGGAAGAGCAAGCTGTCCCTACTTGCTGTCCGGGGACTGAGAACATCTGCAGCTAGAAGGGAAATTTCAGGACCAGCTGATGCAATCCTCAGGAATAGACTGGATCACCTCTGGACAGCTCCTTTGGCACTGTCTTGGGTGTAGGAAACACCTGGACTTGAGAGGCCACTACAACATACATGTGGACAGAAGACAAAGTTAAGTAGGTTAGGGAGAAAATTTGTTTTTAGATCAGCACATTTGAAACTTTCAGATCCATGGTTTATCAGTTGGGGAAGGGAAGTCCCAAAACTAGGGGAAAAAAAAGGTGGAATCCCACTCTCTGAGATAGGCAATAGGTAGGAGACTTAGGCTGTTAACTGACAGTACGTATCTGGAGTCCATCTGACCTGAGAGGGGGATTTGGGTGGCTTTCCTGTAGCTTACGAGAATCCTTTTTAAGTTTAAAAAGAAGATACATTTGATACATGTGAGTATCACCATATTTTGTAATTTGCAACGAAATACATATTGTAGAAAAATTCAGAAGACGTACATCTTTGTGTCATAGCATAGTAGAGGCTTGGGAAATTATTCTGGGTAGCAGCATGAATATTCTTTAAGATGTGCTCAGGGAAGACAGGAGCCTTCCGTGAAGTAGAATTGCAAAATCACACTTGATCTTGTTTTTCAGTATGACTACACATCATGAGAGAGGAACTTCTCTCTGTCCAGAAGAGTGGATGTATACAAGTCTAGAACAATGAGAAACATTTTTTAAGCCTACACTTAAAAGACAAACCAAAGGAAATTTAAAATTTTGAGCTTGGAACTATGATAGTGGATTGTATAGGGGAATTTTTTTTATTGTTATCATTTTTTACAATTTATTCAATTTGTATCCAGGCTGTGGCCCCCTCCCTCATCTCCTCACAATCCCACCCTCCCTCCCTCTGATCCCTCTATGCCCCTCACCTCGTCCACTGATAGAGGAGGTCCTCCTCCCTTCTATCTGACCCTAGTCTATCAGTTCTCATCAGGACTGGCTGCGTTGTCTTCCTCTGTGGCCTGGCAAGACTGCACCCCCCAGGGGGATGTGATCAGAGAGCCTGCCACTGAGTTCATGCCAGAGACAGCTCCTGCTTCCCTTACTTGGGTACCCACTTGGATAGTGAGTCTATGGGCTACATCTGAGCCAGGGTTTTAGGCCCTCTGAATGCACTGTCATTGGTTAGGGTATCATTCTCTTCAGGGCTCCAGGGCTCAAGTTTTTGTTGTTGTTTTGGAGCTCCTGTCCCCTCCAGGTCTTTCTATCTCCCCCTTCTTTCACAAGATTCCCTGCACTCTGCCAAAAGTTTGGCTATGTTTTTTTTTTTTAACAGAGTTTAATAAATCAGAGTTCTAGTGATTAACCAAAGCTCTGAACAGCCTTAATACTGCAGTAGCATAGCAACAGGAAGAAATCCAAAGTATCTTCCACTCCTTTCATATGAATCGCTGTCTTACAACCACCTAGGCCTTTGCTTGTATCTGTTAACCTTAAAACACCTTCTTAGATCTTAGAATGCTTTCTTAGGTCCACATTACTTAAGCTTTGTGTCATTAAGTCTTACGTAAGCTCTTACATCTTTTTTTTTTTTTTTTCAATTATTTACCATGAAACACAGGTAGAACTGCCGAGAGCAGTCCTTGTCCTTTAGCTAAAGGAACAGTAAAAAGTTACAAGTAAGACCTGCTTTTCTGAGTCTGGTAACAAGGAAGACTGTGTCTAGACCTAGTAGTTTTAACTAGCTGATGAACTGACATAGTGGATTACCTTGGTAAAAAGGGAGCTAATTGCCTGTTTTCTAGCTGTTAAACTTCCATTAGCTTTGCTGTCAATGTGATCAGAGACCTGAGGAAGATAAATTGTAATCTAAATGAATCTATGTATCAATCAAAATGACAGAGATGACTAGTCAGTCAGTCCATAGTCCACTACCTAGAGAGTTGTCCCCGGTTCCTGGGGTCTCTATGTCAAGGCAGGCAGAGGCAGTCTGGCCATCAGGCCCAGAGGATAAGAGGCTTTCCCGTGGATGAAGAACATGAGAGAGCCTGCCCTCTCCTCATCTTCCTCAATATGAAACAATAACTCTTCGGGTGTCTAGTTTGTCCCCAGTTCAGGCCAGGCTCTAGCAGCAGAGTAGCCAGCAAGGCACTGAGGCAGTCTGCCCAGTGGTCAGCACACAGGTTTGAAGTCATCTGTCGCTGTGCCCAAGTCATGGCACAGATGTTATCATAATGATTAAGAATCTGTCAAAACATATTTGGTATAAGGAAACAAGTTTATTGTGGGAAATGGGGGGAGGAGAGAGAGAAAGAGAGAAGAGAAAGTACCTCAGAGAGACAGAACAAGACAGAGAGTAAGAGAAAGAGCAGTGAAAGTGCATGGGATGGCAGGCAGGCCCTTTTCATCCAGCACACATCTGCCATGCCTGGCACACACCTTGCAGCAGCAGATGATGACCTCAGAGGTTGCTAGGCAACCTAGAAGCAGGCTATTGGAATAACAGGTTCCCAAGTCACAGAACCTTCCTTAAACTTTACTTGATCTTTCCTTTTTGGTCTCTTATTTCAGAGTGTTGGCCGTAAACCTTGCAACAGGCAAGAAAAAAAAAAAACAAAACACTTTTCTTTTTTCCTTCTATATCCAAAAAAAAAAAAAAAAAAAGTCTGCATGGTCCCAACATGAGGACCCTGAGACACATATGGCTGCTCTCCCAGTGTCTTCTCCACAAGCTCTTACGACACTTGCTTACTGCTGGGCCATCCAGCCTGGCCCTGCCAGACACCAGTTTGCCCTGAGCCTGAGTTTGTTTTTCCTCTGGCATAGCTGACAGCTCTCTGTAAACTGTGAACGGCTTGCCTTCCACATTCACTGTTAGGGATGAGTCTAGGTACTTGCAAGTCTCAACTGGATGAATAGAAGGCAAGGTGTGGGTATTCTGTGAAGTGTTTTCACAGGGAAATGATGGATGAGTTGGTGAGCAGAGTGGGAAAGACTGGAGGAGGCAGCAACCAATTGGGGGAGCAGGGAGAGCAAAAAGGACAAAGAGCAGGTGCCTTCCTCTCTTTCCCCTTGCATTCAGACACTTGTCTTTTTTGCCTCTGAACACAACTGCAGGACTTGCCAGCCCTTTTTACTCCACTGGCCTCTGGAGTTCTTGGTCTTTGCCTTTTGATAGAATTATATTCCAGTCTCTCTGCTTCTGGGGCTTCCACACTTGGACTGAGCTGTGCTCCTGGCATTCTGGGGTCTTCAGCTTGGATTGGCCTGTCCTGTGATCTCTCAGCTACCATAATCACATGAGATGAGTCCCATCATAGGGCCACTCCTCCTTTCTCTTTCCCTCCTTCCCTCTCTGGTTGAAAATAGCTGAACGAGGAGGGAGGGGGCTACAGCTGGGACACAAAGTGAAAAAAAAATAGCTGAACGAGAAGCAGCAACTTTCCCCATGCAAGCATAAACACCCCACTGTCCATTCTCTGTGAGCTTCCTGTCTCAGTTTCTTTCTGGCCTTCTACAAAGAAAGAGCAAAGCGAAGCAACGCTGTCTGCACTGCTAAACTTAGAATCCAATGGAGCGATTTCATCACCGAGGGTTGCGTAATGAACCAGCAGACAAAAATCACAAAGAGAATGATGCAACAGGCGAAAAGGAAACCAAACACGAAAGTTGTCAAACTGGATTTGAAGAATGGGGTAAGGAGTTCCCTCTGGCCTGGTTAAAAGGAGTCTGCAACCTCAGAACAGGGAATTTTTTTTTTTTCTGGCTGCCTTATGCTATTCTGGTGTAAACTTTTAACTGCCGGAACACAAAGAGAAACAGGAAAGTGCTGAATAAGTGTGGCCTTGTAACCAGGCAGCACGTTACCAAGAGCAATGGCACTCTCTGTAACTCAGAAGTTTTGATAAAAAGCTTTCCATGTTATTGCGTATGGAACTTTCCTTAATTTTTCTTTTGGATTATTCATTGATAGCACACAACTGATTTTATTTGTTGACCTTGT